AAAATTACCGGTAAAATAATTACAATAATTTTTTTTTTTTTAATATTTCATTTATTAACTTTTAATTCCTTTAACAACTTTTTTTTTTTAAAGGTACTCAATACGTTGACCAAGAACGTATATAGAGACTATTTTGTTCTATTTGTTTTACACGAATTTTTTTTTTAAAAATGATTTAATGCAAATGCGTCCTAGTTTGACATGAAAAAAGATTCCAACTTTGGTATATTTGAAAGAAGCTTAAAAATAAATATTTATTATAAGACAATACAATGCCTTGATTTGAAAAAGTGTTTTACATATTTTTTTTTTTTTGATCGTCTTTGGAAATTCCGGAAAAAAACATAAATTTCACTAAAAATATCGCCAAACTTTTTTTTTTTTTTTTACTTCTGAAGAGAGGTCTCTATATCAACTTCCAATAAACTTTGCATTTTTTCCCCTACATGTCATAAATTTGGTTTCATAGAGTTATTGTAAATAAAATTTTTCGGGAAATTTTCTTTGAATTCGTATCTGATTAACTAGTCTCAAACACAAACTCGTTCGAATCTTTTTTTTTTTGTCGGGTCATTTAGTTGGTGTGAAATATCGCACAAGCAAGTTCAGATTTGTTGATTTTAAAAACTATCTAAAAAATATTTGGCAAATAGCGATGTCAAAATGATTAAATGATTGATCTGCACTCAAGAATTTTTAAAAATAAAAATAAGAAAGCTTGACAAATGATGATTAAAGAAAATATCGTGACTGTAACTCAGCGACTACTCAGGTTTGTCATACGTCGTCACACTTAGAACAGACGAAATTTTAATAAATACAATTACTTTTGGAACCTACAAAAAAAAAAAGGTCTTTTTATATTTTTTATCACTTGCTGCTCCCCCTCCAAAAACAAGAGTTCTAAAATTTATACATTTTAAATAATATTTTTTATTTCAAGAAATTTTTTTTATATATAAAAGCAACATAAAAAAAAAAAATTTTTTTCGAGTCCCAAGGTCTGTGACCTTGAATAAGATTTTAGGATGCAGTCAATATATGACGAATTAAGCATTGAAATATTCAAATGTATACCAAATCCCATAAACCTTTTAGTTTCAAGTCGTAAATGGCATAATATTTCTCAAGACCATCATGCCCGGGCTGCTTGGTTAATTTATAAATATGGTAGAGCGCATGCATTATTTCACGCTGTGAGGATCGGCAATAGCTTCATAACGGTAGAAGTTATACAAGCTTTGCTTTCAAAAAATGTTATCCTTTCAAGATATTTTGTTCAACGGATGCTCATGCATTTCGGTAAATATGATGAGAATCTTATTGATCGACTTGAACTCCAAAAAAAATTAACTTCGCCTTGGGGAAGTAATATTTCTTTAGTAATTTTCACCAAATTAATTACTGAAGGATATAACATCTTGAATGATCCTGAACTTGCAGTTAAAGGGAATGATATGGAATTATTTTATTTCCTGTCAGCTGGTCCCCTGGTTATTAATGACGCGCCTGACAAGCTTCGTCAAAATATTAATCTCATTGAAGATTTAATTTTGAAAAAGAAATTTGTCCCATTTCCGCCACGCAGAAAACCCAAATACGAAGACACATTATATTATATTAAATTAATGCAAGCGAGAGCTCACGAAGAATACCCACCAAAAGATGGTTATGAGAACAGTCGTCAACTTAATGTGGTGGCTAGAGCAATATTAATTCATCCTGACTTGGTAAAATTATGGAAGAAAATTGGCTATTACGAAATTTGTAGCGATGTCAATGAACTTGTAATGCAAGGCGCCCTCCTGAATTTTTTTCCTCATGCTCCACCGAATAATTGGGAATGTCCTGATATGGACATTATTTTATCTCGATTGAAACATCTTATTGATCTGGGATTTCAATTAACCGATAATGTTATAGAAGAGATATTTCATTATTTTGAGCATAAATTAAGCGAGATTGGTGACCTTTTAATGAATTCTTTTCAAGTAATTCGTAAAGAGTCAAAATCGGATATTGTAAGTTCCTGTCTTATTCAAGCAATTAAACCAGAAAGAAAATTTAAAAAAACTGATTTATTAGAATTTTTAATTAAAAGAGTTGATAATCCTAAAGAAGCTTTAAAAAATGCATTAGATCATCATAAAGTTGGATTCAAGTTCAATGCCAAATCTATTAAAACAACAAAGGAAATTAGATCGTTATCTGTTAACTCCAATCTTTATTATTGGATTCTGAAAAATTATGGTCCGAATTCTGAAGTAACTCAGAAATGTTTTGATGACATTATTGAGTCCAGAATTTGGGTAGATTTAAAATTACAAGAAACTCCAGATAGAGAAGTTCCGGAGGGACTGACTATCGGCGCCTTTAATTCTATTTGCTCAATTTATTTAGAATTTTGTGAAGAGAAGGTTCCATTCAAAGCGAATATTTTGCAATATTTACAATTGATTAATAATTATGAAATAATAAATCCATTTTTTACCTATTGTATTTGGTATACAATTAATAGAGGAATTACCTTTGACGATTAGAGCAATATCATAAATATACAGTATATGCATTTATTATAAGTCACGAGATGTTATTTAATAAACAAAAAGAAATCAATAAAATAGTAAATTTTATTATTTAGTAAATTTTCAAAGAAAACTGGCAGTTTGGCTAAATTTTGGCCGGAATTAAAATTGAATTTGAGTTAACTATATGAATTAAAATTTGGTTCTTCATTTATTAATGACTTGATAGAGTCGATTTTTATTTAACCGTAAAAATATCAGAACGTAATGTAAATCAGATAGATCAATTTTTATAAACTGTGCTCTTCAAAAGAAATTAACTTCATGGGGAATAGCATATCTTTGACGATGTTTATTCTATCATATTAAATGTTAATTTTTTTTATAAGCCGGTCCTCTCGTCGTTAATCAAGCTCCTCAAAAACTTCTTCATAACCTTGATTCTATTAAAAATTCACAAAAAATTTATTTGTTTATTCCACCTATTTCACAAAATAATTGGGAGTTTTCTGATGAATATAGCGACATAATTTTTTAACCCATATAAAAATGTGGTTGGCTTTTCCAAATCCTTATAAATGTTCATGGAATAGTCTCTGATAAAATCGGCTGTCCCGTGACTTATGAATTTATCTGTAATAAGATTGCCGGGCAAAACTCTGAGGTTTCGACAGGCATCGAAATCGAAACCCATCGAAACGTTTTGCCAAATTTTTTATTAAAGGCAAAATTGCGAAAGTTTCGACGGGTGGCAAAAGTTTTGACGGGGGCAAATGTTTCGACGATGGCAATATTAAAAATTTATTTTGATTTTACGAATTGGGTTTTGTTCTATAATACTTCTATCGGTGTTAACGGATCATCCTGTCAGGAGTGGTCAATTCACCAAAAGGAGTTTTAGCGATTTCTTCGTCGTGTATAATATTTGTCAAATCATTCATCAAATTTTTTGACGGAATCCACCAATAGGAAGATGAAAAATCAATTTTGGTGTTACCATAAATTCTTCGAATTCTCTCAATATCATCAATTTAAAGATTTTAGACCATATCAAAATTTGTTAAACAAATGACAGAGTCATAACTATAAATATAAAAAATTTTCGTAAGTATGCCTACGAAGCATAGTTTCTATTAAATGATATTCCTCTTGATGAACAACCATATTCATCTATCCATCATTCATGGGCGAACGGTTAATAAAATTACTCGATTTCTCATTCGAAAATGTTCCATTTAGAGTAAATCGTTTACAATAATGAAATAATATTTTTAATTATCTTGACAATTATATAAATTCATTTCTTTATCACAATCACTAATTCAAATATTAATTCAAAACAATTATCACCTGTATTTTTTTTTTTTTTTAAAAAAAAAAGGGGGTGCTGAAGATATATATTAAAGGCCTTTTCTTTTTCACTAATGTATGATTTTTCTTTCAATTTTAAAGTTATACAATAGCAAAAATATTTTATTTTTGGTCCATATTTTAATAATTTTTTTTTTTTTTTTTTTTTTACAAACCCACCCTTTTTTAATAAAAACCCATATTTCATAGGAATTACATTTTACTTTTCCAAAATTAATTCAATAATATTATTTTGAAAAAAATTTTTTATTATAAAAAAAAAACACGTGTAGAAAAGACGAGAAAAAATACTTTAAAATTCTTTTTGTTGATTCCGTCTCCGTTTATATTGATTTCGGACTTTTGACAAAAATTTTAAGGGATTTGTTTACGGACCCTTAATATTATTTTATTGTATTAAATATTTAATTACTAATTTCTGAGGAAACGATGTTTTGATAAAGCTCGAGCTTCTTAAACGTGATCAAATTATTGCGGCTTTATAATAATGGATGTTATCGTTTATTATATTCTGTTAAAAAAACATTTTAAATAGTGTATTTCACAAATTTGTGGCGCATCTTATAATTCTGAAATTTATTTTGATATCACGTACTGTTTGAAAATAGAATAATTGAATATTTTTGCTTGCAAATTCAAATATTCTAAATTACATAATTAGTTGTCAAGGAGAAAATGCTTTCCTCATTATTTCTTTGTTTGTAGATTCAAAGTTTCATTTTGGAAGTTTTCATTTTTTATCAATTTTTTTTCTCTCCAAACTTTTTTTTTAACGATTGCAGCATATTTGATTTAATTAATACCTTCGGTTTCTATATTAGAGTCAAATAGTGCTGTTCCTTAATGAATTTTTGAGTTTTAACTTTTCGAAATTTATTCATGATTATTTAAAATTTTTTTGATATCATTAAAATGGAGTAATTTGTTAAAATGGATTATCATAAAACGTTAAAATTTCTTTTGAATCGGTTTTTTTTCTAAGAAACATTGATGACTTTTTTTTCTTTTCTAATACTTTTTCATTTGGAAAAGACTTTTGCAGGTATAGAACTTGGGGAAAAAAAAAATCCTACCTGTTTTTCAATTGTCGTCGTTACAAAATTTGGGTTCTGATAACCCAATCTAAATTCACGTAAATTAGCAAAGAAAGGAGTTTATGATTCAAAAACTTGTGTAGTTCAAGATTTTATTTCCTTTAAAAAAAAAAAAAAATCGTGGGAAAAAAAAAGTCGAATAAAATTCAATATCATCTTAATAGTAATATTTTTTTTTTTTTGAATGATGTTCCGTTGGTCTACCGAAATATGCTAAAAGTCTATTCGTTATAAAATCTTCTAAGGGCAGACTTTTCTGTTAAAAGAACTATTACCACATCTTAAAAAAAATCAGATGATCTGAAGCAAATACATATGGGAGGTTTGCTATTAAAGTCGAATAAGATTTAAATGTTCGGTAACTCGAATTTTTAATAACAAAATGTTGGTGCGTTAGGTGTCGGGATACTAAATATAGAAATGATCGAAGATGATCGTCAGGGATGCTGGTTAGAAAATTTACAAAAGACCTGACTTATACAAAATAAGCAATCTAATTCCGGTAAGATAAATAATGATTTTTTCTTTTTTGTCGATTCGGAATGTATACATACATACATGAAAAAATTATTTAAAGGAAAAAAAAAAAAGATGATTCCAAAGTTGCGCAATCAAAAAATTTAAAATCTTTTAACTAATAAAAATCATGAGCTCCAATACATATCTTAGTAAAGAATCATCTCGGAAAAAACCGCAAACTTTATTACAATTGATTGAATTCGAGAATTATGGTTTCGAAAATATTCTTGATAAATTTAGAAACTTGAATAATAGACGGTTTCATAATAATAATACTTCAAACTATTCATTACCTAATGATAAAATAGAAATTAATAGATTACAATTATCACATATGTTATTAAAAAACGCATTTGGTGGTAATTTTTCTTCTCCAGTACATAATAAATTAAGTGACGGAATTTCTGTATTAGATGTAGGGTAAGTTTATATTCATTTAAGAATTTATTCAAAGTAATAAAAATTCAACTATTCATTAGATGCGGAGCAGGACACTGGGTTATCGAAAACGCGGAAAAATATCCAAAAAGTACATTTGTTGGACTAGACATGTCTCCAATTTTTCCGAAGGACGACAAACCACAGAACGCCGGATTTATCGAATGCAACGTGCTCGATGGAGGACTCCCCTTCCCATCGAACACTTTTGATTTTGTACATCAAAAATTGATTCACGCCGAATTCACTGAAAATCAATGGTTACTACTGATAAAAGGTATAAATTCCTATCCTTAGGGACAATCGTTAAAGTTTTTCATTATTCAGATTATTTTTTTCGTTTCAAAGAAATTGCTAGGGTTTTAAAACCTTCTGGATATGCAGAATTCATGGAAGTGGAAAATTATATTCACAATTCAAGACCTCATTTAAAAGAATTTCAAGAAAAAGGTAAGAAATTTGCTAAATGCCTAAAATCAATTTAAAATATTTGACCTTTTTCTTCTTTTGTAATTTAGTTAAACGATTTTATGAAGCAAATAATTTATGTTTTGATATAGCAACCAAATTAAAAGATTTTATTGATTATACAAAATGTTTTAGTGAAGTTAAAATTGATACTCGAAAGATTCCTGTTGGAAAATGGGGCGGATTTTTTGGTGAATTGGTATGTATAGTAATATATTTTGATAATTATAAAACCTTTATCCTGATTTTTTTTTTTTTTATAAAAATAGATGTTGATTTATTTATGTATGACCACTGAAGCTTTCGCAACAATGAAAGGTAAAATGATTAATTGTACTAAAGAAGAATATGATAAAATATATGAAAATATTTACAAAGAAATCGAGGAAAGTAACACAAATCTTGTTTATAAGCGATTTTACGCGCAAAAAATTTGATCATATATTGATAGGAAATTTACAAATAACAGGAGTTAGAAAATTAAATTTTTATTGAACGCATTTTTTATATAATTATTAATTATTAATGAAATCTTATAATTTCAAGGCAATTAAATTATTATATAAAATAATATTTAAGAGAGAATGTCGTTCTTTTGATAAAACGATTTGTGTAACCTATTCTTAATTTTTTATACTCGAAGCAGCTAACGTAGGGAATCTTTTATTCCATTTAGCAATTCTTAAAAAGGCTTGTAATAATGCGTACATATTCATAGACAATAAAGAAAGAGACTAAAACTAAGTCCTTATTATACACCGATGTATTTTTTTGTCAATTACTCTGGTTTATAATATGACATGATATATTTATATTAATACAACAATTAAGAAATACATGCTTTTTATATTTATTCAAAATGTGTATTTAAATTTATTATATCTAATTTACTAGTAATGAATGTGTTTGGAATTGAACATTATGATGTTCTGTACATGTATATTCAATTTGATTTCTTTTTTTTCGTGTAGAATTAGAAATGCTTAATCATTTCTTAGCTTGTAAACTGAAGAATATATGGGAAGGGGGAAACTGTCGGAAAAATCAATTTTACTTTTATATGTCAAATATGATTTTTAGGTCAAAATATGTTCAGATTTAGCATTAACTTATTTTTTATTTTTT